CCTTCTGTTCTCTCTCTCCCTCACGGCTAATTGAAAACATAATCCTGCTTATCAGGTTTGTGAAAAACCAACAGAATTCTGTTCCTGTGTTCTGCCCATTTATTTTACACCCTTGTCTTTCTCACAAACAATTACAAAGGCTTTAGGCTTGCCTGAGGCACTGTTTCTCTTATCTCCAACCCTACCCTTTGCCTTCTGTGATAACAGAAACCCTTTATACTTGTGTCATTCTATATAGCACCTCCTTCCTCCCCCAAAGTGCCTATTGGAAGCTGCAAATATCACGAGTAGATCCGAAGAACTGAATTTTAAAATAATATTAAATTCAAACTTATATAGTCATCTGAGTCTAGAGCCTACTACACTGGATAATGCAGTTCTAAAATATGGTTCTTATGATAATCATGGTAGCAGAGGCAGGGGGGTTGAAAGTTTGAGGCAGGAGATAGTTTTGGAAGACAAAGGAAGTGGTGAGAATCAGTGAGATCAAACGGTGGTGGGGGTGGCACATAAATAACTACAGTAAGAAGTGGGATGAGAGCCGCTGGGTGCGGTGGTCCATGCCCTGAATCCCAGCACGTGAAAGGCAGAGGCAGACGGATCTCTGAATCTCTAAATTCAAAGCCAGCCTGGTCTACAGAGTGAAGTCCAGGACAACCAAGCCAAGGTTACACAGAGAAACCTTGTCTGAAAAACAAAATAAGGAGGAGTAGGAGGGGGAAGGGAGAGGAGAGGAAGATGAAGGGCAAGGAGAGGGGGAGGGGTCTAGGAAAATCCAGAGAATGAACACAAGAAAGATAAATCTAAACTGTAAGGAATGAGTTAGCAGCAAACCAGCCGTCCCAGGTGGCCCTGTTAATAGTGCCTGAGCTATGGTGTGACACTGCTTTAGTTAACATGTATCTTTTCCTCCCCTACCACATTGTTTTCAAAGGACTCATTTCCTGTAGCATGATGTCCAGAGTCAGTTGTATGGTGTTCAGTAGCATTTGTAACCCAGTCTTTTGCTTTTCCAGCACTATGTCCTCTGTCCAACTCCATTTATACTCTAGCGCTGGAGAGTCTTGCTTCTCCTAAGCAATCCCCAGTTTCAGATCTCCCAGCTATCACCACTACTATTTGTCCTATCTAAAATGTCCAACCTTCATTTCTTTCTTTTCAAATATTCCATATTTGAAGACCTAATAAATAAAGCCCTGACCTCATCCCCATCAGGGAGATCATTCCTTTTTCCTTGATTTTATTTATTTATTTATTTATTTATTTTGGTTTTTCGAGACAGGGTTTCTCTGTGTAGCCCTGGCTCTCCTGGAACTCACTCTGTAGACCAGGCTGACCTCGAACTCAGAAATCCACCTGCCTCTGCCTCCCAAGTGCTGGGATTAAAGGCATGCGCCACCACTGCCCGGCTTTCCTTGACTTTAGGTGAGACATGGGACATCTCTCAGCCTAGTTTTCCTCGTCTGTAAAGTGGGAATGCTAACATAGTCTCTTTTGGGGAAGATTAAGTACTGCTACTTTTAAACTCTACAAAGAAAGCATAAAATAAAGCCAGCTGTTGTGCCCCCCCACCCCAACAGTTATCATGTGTTGGTAGAAATATTTACAAATGGAACTGTCTCACTCCTGAAGACTGAGTTTATTAACAGCAAAGCTTGGTCTTACTCAGTGCTCTCCCTGGAGATACACTGTAGCCATTGGACAGATGCCTTGGCCAGCTTGTTAATAAATGAGTCAATGACTAAATAGAATGTCACAGAATAAGTTGTCTGTCTTTTTTTTTTTCCATGATTTTTTAAAGGGAGAGTAAAAGAGACAGTTATGGCAAAGATGAGGGAGAAGAACTATAACAACTTTGTCTTGTAAAAATGTATTAAAATTTTGGGCCAACTGTAGTGGTACAAGGAAACAAGGGGAAGCAGATCTCTATGAGTTCGAGGCCAGCCTGGTCTACAGAGTGAGATCCAGGACAGCCAGAGCTATGTACAGAGATTGTGTTTTAAAAAACCAATAGCAACTATGATAGTTAACGTTACATTTAAAGTAAATACTTACTATGCTTGAGAGACCAAGAAGCAAAATCATGCCTCTAACATGCAAGCCCCTAGCTTGTGCAGGCTGTACAGTACCAGCCCATTTCCCCTTTTTCCCAGACATAAAAGACTATTCTTAAATTGACTGATCTTGTAAAATTTGCTGTTCTAGCAAGATAGTAGGTCATAATACTAACTGTAATTTTTGCATTTGTAATCAAACTTGATTACTCCACTCAAAGATATGACTAAGACCACTATAAGACATACATGAGCCGGGTGTTAGTGGCACACGCCTTTAATCCCAGCACTTGGGAGGCAGAGGCAGGTGGATTTCTGAGTTCGAGGCCAGCCTGGTCTACAGGGTGAGTTCCAGGAGAGCCAGGGCTACACAGAGAAACCTTGTCTTGAAAAACCAAAAAAAAAGACATACATATTAAAATTAGACCCTGCCTATATGTATACAAAATACATACAATCTTATGGGTTTTGCCTTTATATGCCTTAGGCTGATAGGGATAGAGGCTGCATCTCGGAAGTGCTCTCAGGTGCTGTCCTGGCTCCACACTGGATGTTAGTACCTACATTAAATAAAAATAAAAATTAAAAAAAACCCTCTTCTTATTAAAATTTATTTACGCTCCTGTTGAATCTCTGAGTGACCCCAAACCATAACAACCACAAAATGACAGATTAATCCAAGAAAGCAGATTAAACAGTCTAGGCAGATTTCTCTTTACTTCTGTATTCTATAAAAGGCCTGAGATAAATTAAAATATTCTAAAGAGACATATGTGTCTCTCACCCTCAGTATCAGACTGTTGAAACAAAGAATGAGGACTGAATAGGTATTTCCCCAGGCATCTCATGCTGAGAGAAGGAGGAGGCACCATCTAGAGGGGCCACTCATCTTCTGGAAAAAGAATTCCCATAGTTCTAAGAACTTGTCATACCACCATATAGGATGAGACTGAAGCCCAGACAACAATAATGACTTAGGTATGGGCTGCTCAGACCTGTAGATCCCTGGTCCTGTTTTTTGTTTGTTTTGTTTTGTTTTGTTTTGTTTTTCGAGACAGGGTTTCTCTGTGTAGCCCTGGATGTCCTGGAACTCACTCTGTAGACCAGGCTAGCCTCGAACTCTCGAACTCAGAAATCCGCCTGCCTCTGCCTCCCAAGTGCTGGGATTAAAGGCATGTGCCACCACTGCCCGGCCTTGGTCCTGTATTTTATCTCATTTCAGGACCCCAAAGACAGATTTGGGGTTCACTGGGACTCTACAACTAGCCACATTGAATCAACCAATCAGTCAATCAATTAGTCTCTCTCTCTCTCTCTCTCTCTCTCTCTCTCTCTCTCTCTCTCTCT